GACGCTCAACATCTCCTCATCGTCCAATCAGCTCCGCTAGAAATTTTTGAATACCTCTTGAGTATGTCCTATCATAAAGAGGCTGATAGAGGCACAGTCAGTAAACTGATACTTACAAGAGGCTAGGGAGATGTCCACTTCGAATTGGGTAGAAGACGCAGCGAATATTTTTCTAGCGCATCCATAGCGTAGTTATCAAGAATGTTTCTGTAGCTTTTTCGTTCAAAGTACTTAGAAGGTGGTGTCCTTTGGTTGGAAATTCAGCTTTATAATAGGTCACCCAGTAGACGTAGAGGCTGTTAGTCCCATTTTAAATTTCAATATTAACTCAGCCTGCAAAACACTGCAGTAGTGGGGTTGATGAAGATAGTTCTAGTGAGAGATCACTTAAGTGATTCTAATTGTCTTTTTTGTCCAAACTAATTCAAACATCGTCGATACTCTGGAGAATGCAATGTGGTATAGTCGTGAGCAACCCATGCGCGAGATGCGGTAACCAATCCGAGTGAAGCCTTGGCACATGGCAGAAAGAGAGAGAGCTTTGGTGGGGCCACTCGGACTTATTCGGTTTAAGGGCTCACTGAAGTGTGCAGCGTCTGATCAGCAGTAGCTGCGGACGCAAGCAACTCGCTTTATAAACCCCTCTCTCAGCAATGGGTTGGGACCTGCCATAAATATATATCATATCCAGTGAATAATGAAAATAAAGCCTCGGATGAGCAGTAAAAATATGCGTCCAAAACTGCAAGAAAAGAAATCGCTACTCGGCTCTCTCGGCTCACCTGCGCTTATAGAGCACTCTTCAGTGTAACCGCAGTCCGATTTCAGCGAGCCCGAATGAATAACTGGTACGATGAGGAGTGTCAAGAAGATGCAGAGAAAAAAGATGCCGCCTACAGGGCAACGCTGCGAACGGGCGCCACGCGAGTCATGTGGGACCGTTACAGCGAACTGAAGAGGCAAGCGAGAGGCATTTGCCGTAATAAGAAGGAAGAGTCCGAAATACTGGAATTAGGCGACTTACGGAAGGTTTAAAGACCAGGGCGGACTCTAGTAAGAACAACCAAAGCGACCAAGTCCCCGATGTTTAGAACGTACTTAAATTATGAAGGGAACACTTTTCCACTCTACTGAATGGTAGCAGCGAGAACGCGGGTGAGATTTAACAAAGCTGCTGGATCTGACAGCCTGCCAGCTGAGCTATGTAAGTACGGCGGCGTGAAGCTGATAAGATGCACGCATCAACTCTTATGTAGAATATGGTCAGATGAACGCATGCCCGACGACTGGAATTTAAATGTGCTCTGCCCAATCCACAAGACCTCGCCATACGCGCCAACTACCGCGCAATCAACCTTCTAAGCATAAGTTACAAGGTCTTATCGAGCGTATTATGTGAAAGACTGAAGCCCACCGTCGACGAACTGGTTGGGCCTTATAGGTGTGGCTTTAGGCCTGACAAATCCACCATAGATCAGGTATTCACAATAAGCCAAGGCTTGGGAAAGACCCGCGGGAATAGGGTCAACACTCACGATCTATTAGACTACTTCAAGACGCTTTTAACAGCACTAAAAGCAGTTGCCTATAAGACTGCAGGTCTGAATTCGGCATCCCCGCGAAACGGATACGGCTATGTAAAATACTGATGACTCCCTTTTATGTGGATGAACCAACAGGCCCCTTGAGTGAACACAGCTTTGAGGTTCGGCCCCGTTTTAGAATTTTTATCAGCCTAGCGATGTGAATTAGGTTTCAATACCAGTACAGTATTATTTTGAACGACAGCCTTTACGAAGAACGAATTAGCTTCCCTTTGTGTACAGAATTTGTTTCGATAGCTTCTACTTCTGAAACTCCCAATTCCACCAAACAACTGAACAGGAGTGCAGCTGATGATTTTACGAGGCGGACAAGCCTTATCTCACACCCACTCTCACTGCTCTCCAGTTTAAAATTTTCCACCCATCTGGGAGTTGAATAGATCTAGATCAAGTCATGTCCCCGTGAGAAGCATGGTAGCACCGAAGAAGAGAGAGATTTATTGCTGACAATACTCTAAATCATAAATTTACCCGTTTTATACTGAGTATATTCAACTCAGAATCAGTTAATCTAAAATATCCCGAATACATATTAGACCATTGCCACACACACTTCTAATACTTCTCGAACAAAAGGAAGGGTGCATTCCAAAACGTCAAAATACAAAGCATCAGTCTCTTTTATTTCCAAATTTCAGTAGATAGTAATGCCAAATGTGCGCAGACACGGTTAGATGCTAGTTTTAAGCTGGGTTGCGCAAGTTAGACTTTTCCTTCTAGTGCGGTTTGGAAAAAAAGAGGCTGATACTTTGTGTTTTGACGTTTTGGAATGCACCCGAACATAGACACCCAACTACACCTGCAAGTGGTTTATATTTGAATTTATCTGCGGTTCCGCTGACTAGTTTATGTCATTAAAAATAATACAAAAGTTGTAAAATATTTGTTCCCGGGCCAGCTGGTGTTTGCAGGGGAAGGTTAGTAAAAACAAAAACAAAAAAAAAATAAAATCATTTGTTTAATTAAAAAATGTATGACACAGAAAACAATTTAATTTAAAAGAGAAAAAATAGAAAATAAATAAAATTAAATTAAATAAAAACGCATTTTAAAACAGTAAATTAAAAAAGGTTTTTTGAAAAAGCCTGATTTGATAAAAAAGAAAACTGTTTCTCATCTTTATGGCACCAAGTGTCTATTGAAATTGATTCGCGATCACTTGGCTTCCTTCCGAGAATTTTCTCTCCCTCCTCCCTGGCACGTTGCAAATGCAATGGAATATGGCAAATCACGTGTGGCGGATAATGGTAGAGGGATTCCACGCAATTTTAAAAATTTTTTCAATTCAATAATTATTAAAAACTGCATCGTCGAAAACAAACCGCGGTCACCGGGCGTCGAACCTTGGCCACGTTGATCGCTAACATTGCTACTAAACGCACTCGGCTACCTAGCAACCGTGCAATTCTACGAAATTTCGTAACTTCAACATTTAGGTGAACATTTTTGCTTTGTGTTGTTTTGGTGAACTTAACAGCGGCATCTTCTGGAGCTGAGTAAGCAAGATTGGTTTAAGTTTTAGCTAAACTACCATCAGATAACGTATATAAATTTATATACGTTCTCTGCTAAAGCCCTGTTCGCGTACCAGAGAACGTATAGAGAGAGAGTTCTCTGATGTATTTCACATTCTTTCACATTGTAATTCTCTGTTCACATTAACAAAATAATCGTTTGTGGTGTTACAATTGACAAAATAAACCTATTTAAATATATAATAAGATGGAAAATACTAGTTTTCGAAGAAAAATTTAATCGGAAAATAACAAATTAATCAGCTGCTTATAAAACTAGCAACTTCTTGCTGGTTTTGCGTTTGCGTACTTTCTTGCATATTTCTCTCATTGGGAGTAAATATTGGCTTACTCTCCGAAATTTGGTTACTGGCAAGTTACTGGATATTTTTTGCTAAAGAATACGAAGACAATTTAAAATAAAAATGGAAGGCAGAACGGTAAGTGTGGAGAAAGAAATGGTAAACGGGGAAAGGAGCGGGTTTTTGTACATTTGCTTGCTTGCCGAAAATATCATGTTTGCGTGAAATCGATTTGCTGATTGCAAATTGATTTTTGCAAACATGTTTGAATTTTTCCATTTCGGGTAAACATGTATGAATTTTTCTATTTCAGCTAAATTTATAAGACTTACTAAGGCAATATTTTGTCTTTTTTGGACAATTCGCATGAGCCGATTTTGCAGGCAATTTTAGAGGCGATCAGTTGAATCAAAAGTCGGCTCCATCCCAATTTCATTGGAAGCGATTAGTTAAAAGTAGAGTTGCAAAACTATCGATAGTTTAAATTTGACACCACCATCGATGAATGGTAGCCCCGTTCCCACGACAGTCGGGTCTACGTAACCGGAACGACCCAGATTTATATCTAGCCAAGGACTGTCACTCCAGCAACACTCCCCAAAAAGTCTTTGGGGAAGTTGTATGCTGCTACAAAAAAAAAAATAATAATAATAAAAATGGTAGCCCCTATCACGATACTATCGCTAAATTCGCCAGTAACACCACCAAGGCGAATTTATACAAGGTGGTGTTGATGGCGAATTTAGATTTTCGCCGAGGTACGTCTTAATATCAAAATGATGTGTTTGTTGTAAAATGAATTCGCCTTGTTTACAACAAACACATTATTTTGACAATGGGTAGGTTCAGAAGGTGCAGAAGTTGAGCGCAACCGTTGCTAAAAAAATCAATGATCGTAATGCGTCTTCTGAACGGCTTGATACATTAGCTGTCAAATTCAAAACACACAACACGTTGTCTCAAATGATCAGAACAATTTTACGATCATCTAACACGCAACTGTTCAGTTGATCAGAAGTACAAAACAACGCGTTCAGAAGGTGCAATCGCAACAGTTACTGAGCTGTTGCGCCTTCTAAACGTGCCCATTCAGTAGAACCGCGGCGAAAATTTAATTCGCCATCAACACCACCTTGTATAAATTCGCCTTGAACACCACCTTGTATAAATTCGCCTTGAAGCATGGCTTTTATCGCTATCAAATGTAAATACAGCTTGGCCACGTACATGATTTTTTGCTCTCTACGTCCGTCAACCTACGTTTACGCTGCGTCGTTGTGTGCCCGCGCCCTTATACTTGACAGTGTACGATAAGAAGGTGAATTCGGCTGATAACTCAAAAACGGGCAAGTCATTTCACTTAATCTGTAACTAAAAACTTCATTCTAAATGCTTTAGGTAGCATTCGCTTAAGATAGCAGTCCAACCAGCAGCGTTCG